GTTTTGATCCTGACATCACCAAACCCTCAGGGCTGCTGAATTAGGGCTCTTACCTGTATGGCCCATGAAATGTCCCAGAAGCTGATTGATGTCTTGGTGCTCTTGTTGTGTTCACTTTGGCTGGGCTCTTGCAGTTGCTGTATCTCTTGGATGCTGTGCAGGACGGAATCAGGCACCCAAACCTCAGGTTCACCTTCTCCCTGACCCTCTACGCTGGTCGTGTGGCACAGCAGATCCTGGAGCCAGGTACTGGAATTTGCTGCATGTGTCACTGCTGGGGTGAAGAACAGAGCCTTGGGGAGTGTTGATCTCCTCACCTGCTTTGTGCTCGTGCCCTCTTGACTGAGCTTTTTGTTCTGGGGAAGAGAAGGGGAGGGTGGGCAGCAGTCGAGTGAGCCTCAGAGCAAAGGCCTTCTGCAGTTGCTGGGCTGTTCTCCCAGCTTGGAACACTGCACACTCACTGCAGCTTCCACGTATTGTCGTCCGTGGTTGTGGATTGGGAACGTTGCCAGGGTGGGCAGCACAGAGCGTGGTCACACTGGGAGGTTTTCTGACACTACAACACTCCCACTCCCTCCAAGAAACTTCCCTTTCAAGGAGCGTCTGACAGGTCAGATTTCAAACTGCTTTATTTAATGGGAAAATGGTTTATTCCTTCTTGTGAGCAGGATCGTTGGCTTTTCATGGGCAAAGCCACTCCAGATTTCCCAGCTAGGAAGAGAGTTAGGGAACTCTTTTAAAACATAGTTCTGGAGGTACCTAGCAGCTTGATTTGGTAATACTGTGTGGAAATAGAATATCTGTTCTGATTTTCCTCTCATCTTTCTTCCACAGCTGTTTCTGTATTCCTGACTTCTCTTCACGTCAGGCACTCGTGGCTTGGAGCACAGGAGCTGGATATGTCACTTCACCGTGTCAGGTTGGTGCAGGTTACGAATTACAGGGTGACTTGGAAACTCAGAAACAAAGAGAAGAAACTGTTACATCTCTTAGCAAAAAAATTGGCTACATCAGGGCAATAATTCAGGGGACTAACACTTCATCTTCCAAGCTCTGCTCTGTCCTCCTCACCATGAGCCGTGAAAGCCTCCTGAGCTGTTCTCATACAGACCTACCTTGTTTGGTCAAAAAAAATCAGTATTTTATTGGTGTGTGGAAACTCAGGGGGAAGGTTTTATTCAACATCTCTCAGAGGGACATTCAAGCTCCAGTTTCTCTTTTCTTGAACAGTTTGAGACAATACTACTTATGTAATTTTTATTGCAAACATTTTTATCTTTTTGAAGAAGCAGAAAGACTGTTTGTGCATGTGTGTGCCCCTAATATCCATCCTCTCTCTAATACAGGATGGGAAAAAAGGTCTGCAGACCTTCCTACAATGGGGCGCAAGTGCAAAGAACGAGGAGGCAGAGGAAGACTGGACTTGGGAATCAGGACAGTTTTCTTGGCTTTAAAAAAGCTTGAATGGCACTTCAAGACATTTATATCAGACCTGGTTTAGTTTTATTACCCTTTTTAAAATGCTGCTGTGATGTGCAACAAAAACCTGTCTTCCCTCTGCCTGGAACAGCTGAGAGATGGAACTAAACCCCAAAGGATTTTCTGCTCAGGGATTATATGTGAGTTTTATTGGGAATTCTCTGAGAAATCTGATAGATTGTTCTTGAATGTGGCCCTGAGGG